AGGAAGAGGCTAGTCCTTGAAACGTGTCAGCCTTTTGGATGTCCAGAGTTCTCACTACAGACAGACACGCAGTGTGAATCAGACAGAGCTGTTCCTTTATGATGTGCCTTTTATTTATTGATCATTTGTGAGTATGATACTTATTATTTACATTCACTAAACATTTTTTAAGGTAATGCACTAGGCCGGTGCGTCCTCTGTTTGTTTTTCTCTATTCGGTTAAATTTGTTTACCGGACGTTGCGCTTTCGTGCATAAGTGATTCAGACAGCTTTAAAACCACCTGATCATTTCCACAGCCCACCAAAGGTACCAATTTCCCTGTCCAACTGTCCCCACCATGTAACGTAGGTTCTGATATCCCACATGCAGACCCGGGAGTGGCATAGCAGAGGCCAATGAGTGGAATGGAGGGAGACTAGTAAACATTACCCTCCAATGTGATAGCATTAGAATAAAATGAAAAAAAAAGGAAAATAATTAAAAAAAATAAAGAAACATATAAAAAAAAAAACATAAAGGCCCCTGCCCCCACGTACACACACAAGAACATAAATGCAAGGTTTACCTATGTATAAAAAGGAAAAATGTGGTACAGACGGAAGATATTGCCATGAATGCTGGAGTGACAGTAATAATTCTAGGGCCATCATTCATGGTTAACAAGTGCTACCTATGGAGAATGTTGTGTGCCAAAGTTTGTTGCTGTTTCATGGGCATGCATATTAAGGCTTTGCACGTTGGTTATCTATTTACTCATCACCACATATTTAATATTTTACAAAAAAATTGGGTAATATATTGTGTTTTGGTGCATTCAAAATAGCTTTAGTGTATTTTTACAGAAAATTTGCATATGATAAACATGTGCACTAATATTGTCTGACATAAAAAAAAACATTGGAAACTATCACCCTTCTCCAGAGTCAAATGAGCGTTGCTCTATATCTACTTGTAGCCTAGGTTCACGCATATGCGTTCTAAATTCGATCAGTTTTGTAGTGCGATTCAGCGGTGCAAATCAGACGTGTTTTTGTTTGAATACCAATGCGATTTTAAGATCTGCCTTCAGCATAGGTTTTTTTCAGAATCCTCTCCCTTTCCCCCTCTCTGGAAGGATAAATTCCTATTCACAGAAATACAATGCAAAAAACATGTTGTAATCTGACTAGATGTGAACACCCAATGCGGTCCCCATGCCACTTCATGCAGTGCAAACTCTGAACGCACTGCTCAAAAGTCGTACAGGACTCTTTTCTAAAACACTGCGGATTGAACGGATATATGTGAACACCTTCAATAGGAACACATTGCAATGTACTCATGTGAATCCTTCACAGAAAAATGCATTCAAAACCACACATGTGTGAACTAGGGCTTGCTTAAAGTGTTACTAACCCACAACAGTAAAATCAGTCTGTATATGCAGTAAAGCATGCCTGTTATACTCACTGTTGAACCTAAGGGGTTAATCTTCTACATTTTGTAAAAAGGTTGTTTGATCCTTTCTTCTCTGTCCCTCCTCTTGTTGAAATGACCACATGATACAGATTGAATTCGTAGTCACATGCACATGCTCAGTTTGGTGTGTATTGCTAGAGAGGTGGGTTTTTTTTCTTGGGCAAGTGCATGTGACCAGCACAGGGACAATCAGTACTGTCCAGACAGAGGTCAGGGGTTTTGCATCCTCCTAGAGCAGAAAGAAAACTCCTCCTACAAGCTTTAACCAGTGATCTGCTGAAGTCACAAGATTGCTCTAACTGCTGATCAGAAAAGGTATTTAGCAGTTTATATTTACTAAAATAATTGCACTTGCATGTTCTGTGTACTGTGGGAGACCAGATATAGTGAATGCAGGGTTCTGGGTTTAGTAACACTTTAAAATTCACTTTGGGAATAACCTTATAGCTTATTTTCTTCTATAAAGAGTTTTTATTTTAATGGGCTATAATGGCATTTGAAAGTACAATGAATTGTAGAAGCAATATTCTGAGCGAGTACAAAGTAAAGTACCAAAGCATCTTTCAAATATAGCAAGGACTACTTCCACCTCAACATATTGCAAACTCCTGTGAGGGATATCATAAGAACTTTTGATGAGCACATAATGCTCTAAAGCTATAGTAAGGCAACCTCTGGAGAACGCAGAAGGATATAGGGCACTGTTGGCAAAGTGTGAGCTTCTCGCCTATTTTCAAGCACCGGCACCAAAAGAAGAAGCAGACATTTTTGCCCAGAGTTACTGTTCAGATGTTTTCTTTTTTAAACTTACTGTAGGAATGTGATATTTCTACAGACTTCACAAGTACTTCCAACAATGGGCGGCATCTCAAATAGTCTTTTCCAAGCTTGAAAATGTACAGAAGAATCATTAGGTATGACTGAGCTTTTATCCTTATATACCTCCCAACTGTCTCTCATTTGGAGGGACAGTCCCTCATTCTGAACCAACTCTCCCTGTCCCTCTTTCTTCCTCACTTTCTTCTTGTCCATCTTTTTGGATTTAAGTAAGGCTCTCCATACAAAATATATTTTTTAACAATCAAAGGTATTCAGTTGCACTAAACACTTACCTAAAATTTAAATGATCCTATCTGTTAATTTGAAATCCCAAAATAAAGGAAAAGTAGTAATAAAAATGTGTTAAAGTTACATATACCCAGTGAAGTGACTGGCCTGATATTCAGGGCTGAAAGAAATCCTCATACATAAGTTGTACCTTCAGTCTTCTTTTCTCTACATCCATTCGAAGTGCTGGGTTTACAAAGCTTGTCCGGGAGTTCAGAAAAAAGGGGGGGCAGAGAACTGAAATTGCACAGTGAAGAGCTCAGTGAGAAGAACTCTGAGAGTTGATTGGAGGGGAGAGACACTCCCTCCTCCGCACAGCTCACAGGAACAGAGCTCAGGCTGTCAATCTGCTGGAGGTCATTCCCCTGTCACCTTTTTTATGTCTTGGTGTCAGGAAAACTCGTCAGAATTGATTCATACTGATAGCAGAGGAACAAAGCAGCAGATAGAAATTATACTTAATGTTCTGGATTGAGACAAGTACACACTATAGGAGGATAAGCTTTTTTCATATTTCATGTCTGAGGTTTACAACCAATTTAAACCAATATTTTTTTTTTGCGTGTTAATCCTTTCTCTATATACTTTGTGCTATAAAATGTCCCTCTTTTCCATCTCCCAAAGTTGGGAGGTGTGCCCTTAAAGCTGTTCTCCATATTTCATTTAACTTTAGCTGGTCCAAATGAACTGTTTCCTTCAATAACAGTTGCAGCGGCTAGGAGCTCTGTAAAAAATTGTATGTTTCTACTTGCAGCAAAAACTTGAAAGTGGAAAAAAAGCCTAACATTATTATTCAACACATTCCTTACCTCCTCCTCCTACCTATCTTGCATACCCTGTTTAAAAAAGATCTATGTACTTCTCTATTTTTAATCCTGTCTGGTCATGGGATCCTGCAGCAAGTACATCTTTTTTTACACAGGATATGCAGGATAGGTAAAATGGTTGTAAATCTCTGAAATTAAATATGAACAAAGCATATCCTTCTATAGCGTGTTCTTGCCTCAGTTCAATGCACCTAGTTTTCATCTGCTCACTCATTCCTCTGCTATCTGCATGAGTCACTTCTAACAGCCTCTGCTGCCAAGCAATCCTGGGAGACGATCTTGCCCACTTCAAGCACACAGCAGGTGACTGACAGTCTCAGTTGTGCATATTTTCCTATGCGACTGTGTAGAGAGGGGCGTGTCTTTTCTCTCCAATCAGGTTTCAGATTACACTCAGCTCTCTGCTCCACTGTATTATGTGCAATGTGTGACATCAGATCCTTACCCACTGTCTTGCGGAGATGAGAAATGCTGTGTAACTTTTGGACTTTGGCTGTAGAGAAGAGAGGACTGCAGATAAAAAGGTGCTGTATTTTTCGCTCCATAAGACGCAGCTAGATTTTAGAGGAGGAAAACAATAAAAAAAATTCTGAACCAATGGACTGCATATATAGTACAGGAGATGACCAGAGACTGTGGACATAGTATGGGAGATGACCAGAGCCTGCAGACATAGTACAGGAGATGACCAGAGACTGCAGACATAGTACAGGAGATGACTAGAGACTGCGGACATAGTACAGGAGATGACCAGAGACTGCGGACATACTACAAGAGATGACCAGAGACTGCGGACATAGTACAGGGATGACCAGAGACTGTGACATAGTGACCAGACCAGAGACTGTGACCATAGTACAAGGAGATGACCAGAGACTGCTGACATAGTACAGGAGATGACCAGAGACTGCGGACATACTACAGGAGATGACCAGAGACTGCGGACATAGACAGGAGATGACCAGAGACTGCGGACATAGTACAGGAGATGACCAGAGACTGCGGACATAGTACAGGAGATGACCAGAGACTGCGGACATAGTACAGGAGATGACCAGAGACTGCGGACATACTACAGGAGATGACCAGAGACTGAGATGGACCAGAGATGACCAGAGACTGCGGACATAGTACAGGAGATGACCAGAGACTGCAGACATACTACAGAGATGACCAGAGACTGCAGAGACATAGTACTACAGGAGATGACCAGAGACTGCGGACATAGTACAGGAGATGACCAGAGACTGCGGACATAGTACAGGAGATGACCAGAGACTGCAGACATAGTACAGGAGATGACCAGAGACTGCAGACATAGTACAGGAGATGACCAGAGACTGCAGACATACTACAGATGACCAGAGACTGTGGACATAGTACAGGAGATGACCAGAGACTGTGGACATAGTACAGGAGATGACCAGAGACTGCAGACATACTACAGGATGACCAGAGACTGCAGACATAGTACAGGAGATGACCAGAGACTGCGGACATACTACAGGAGATGACCAGAGACTGCAGACATATAGTATACAGAGATGACCAGAGACTGCGGACATACTACAGGAGATGACCAGAGACTGTGGACATAGTACAGGAGATGACCAGAGACTGCGGACATAGTACAGGAGATGACCAGAGACTGCAGACATAGTACAGGAGATGACCAGAGACTGCAGGACATAGTACAGGAGATGACCAGAGACTGCAGACATACTACAGATGACCAGAGACTGTGACACATAGTACAGGAGATGACCAGAGACTGCAGACATAGTACAGGAGATGACCAGAGACTGTGGACATAGTACAGGAGATGACCAGAGACTGCGGACATACTACAGATGACCAGAGACTGTGGACATAGTACAGGAGATGACCAGACTGTGGACATACTACAGGAGATGACCAGAGACTGCAGACATACTACAGGAGATGACCAGAGACTGTGGACATAGTACAGGAGATGACCAGAGACTTTGGACATACTACAGGAGATGACCAGAGACTGCAGACATAGTACAGGAGATGACCAGAGACTGTGGACATAGTACAGGAGATGACCAGAGACTGCGGACATAGTACAGGAGATGACCAGAGACTGCGGACATAGTACAGGAGATGACCAGAGAGCCTGACAGACACAGTACAGGAGATGACCAGAGACTGCTGGACATAGTACAGGAGATGACCAGAGACTGGACATAGTACAGGAGATGACCAGAGACTGCGGACATAGTACAGGAGATGACCAGAGACTGCGGACATAGTACAGGAGATGACCAGAGACTGTGGACATAGTACAGGAGATGACCACAGACTGTGGACATAGTACAGGAGATGACCAGAGACTGCGGACATAGTACAGGAGATGACCAGAGCCTGTGGACACAGTACAGGAGATGACCAGAGACTGCGGACATAGTACAGGAGATGACCAGAGACTGCAGACATACTACAGATTGACCAGAGACTGTGGACATAGTACAGGAGATGACCAGAGACTTTGGACATACTACAGGAATATTGACCAGAGACTGCAGACATACTACAGGAGATGACCAGAGACTGTGGACATAGTACAGGAGATGACCAGAGACTGCGGACATAGTACAGGAGATGACCAGAGACTGCGGACATAGTACAGGAGATGACCAGAGCCTGCAGACACAGTACAGGAGATGACCAGAGACTGCTGACATAGTACAGGAGATGACCAGAGACTGCAGACATAATACAGATGACCAGAGACTGTGACTGTGGACATAGTACAGAAGATGACCAGAAACTGCGGACATAGTACAGGAGATGACCAGAGACTGCGGACATACTACAGGAATTGACCAGAGACTGTGGACATAGTACAGGAGATGACCAGGGATTGCGGATATACTACAGGAGATGACCAGAGACTGCGGACATAGTACAGGAGATGACCAGAGCGGCGGACATAGTACAGGAGATGACCAGAGACTGCGAATATAGTATAAGAGATGACCAGAGACTGCAGACCTTTGGGGAGTGGAAAGGGGGGGAGCGGGTACCCGAATTTGAACAGGTACCCGCTCCCACTTCTGCTTAGTTGTCCTCTCTCCCCGACTTCTGGGACACATGACAGGTCCCAGAAGACTGCTGGACAATTCACAAAGTGCAGCGCTTCTCACGCATGCACAGTGGGCACCCGGCTGTGAAGCTGCAAACTGTCATAGCTGGGTGCCCATACTAAAGATGCCGGCGCCAGGGAGAGAAGATAGTGAGGACACCGCTGGACCAAGGAACAGGTAGGACCGAGGAGAACAGGTTTCTGCTGCACAGAAGAGCCGAGCGGCTGGCCCGGTATTCTAACACGGCTGCGGCGGGAAAACCGGGCCGGCTGCTCCATATTCGCTCCTTAGGACACATAGACATTTCCCCCCATTTTTTGGGGGGAAAAAAGTGCATCTTATGGAGCGAAAAATACAGTACAACTTGTGTAGGAGGATTTGCTTCATCTCTGTGTATCACCTGAGGTGAGTCATTTAAGTGGGTATATGTAAGGGTTTATAACCACTTACATTTTGTGCTCATTTTCTTTTCTTCAGGTTTATGAAGCCGTACCTATTAATCTACTGAGTGGGCAAAGACTGTGCAGCATTCTTATTGTCTCCAAATGTCAAACTGCTAATTGCCGTCTACAGCCAACTTTACAGATGAAATGAATATTAGCAATTTCTAACTTGGAATGTTGAAATTCTCAATTCTAAATGTGGAATATAGTTTTATAAAACACACATATATATATATATATATATACATAGTAATTATTAAAGAGCATCGAGATCATCTGTGAATGAATAGGCTCCTCAAGGGCCTTTACTCAGAGCATCAACTTATATTTTGCAGCCTCTTAAACAACAAACTGCATAGCAGTTATTTAAAGCAATGCACACGGAAAGCAATCCAATCACTTTGGTAGTTCTGATGGGAAAAGGCAACAAAGGCAAAAAAAAAAACCACAAGAGCTGGAATGATGCCAGTGATTTTTTTGCTGATAGGTTTGCTTAAATTAAATATTGAAGAAACCCTGGCACCCTCTCAATTCCTCCTAGCTGCAGAGTAACTCAAAGGGCACCAGATTTAGACATGAGCAAGCCGTCAACAGATCCTGTAATAATGTAAAATTTATTAGTCTTTCTGAATATTTGAGGAAGGAATAATGTATGAAGCTGACATAATGTCAAGCAAAAATTTACAGCTATTCCACAGAACTCTAACACTAGAAAAATATATATTATTTCCTAACAGGAACAGCCAGAACTGTCAGCATGCATGCATTGTGAGATATGGTAAAATGTGTCTGAAACGCTTTTTTTTTGTTTTTAGCTTTCACATTTTACTAGTTCTGTTCATGATTATATTTTATATAATGATTTATAAAGATTCCTAGCCCCACTACAGTGCATCCAGAGTCCTTGCCACACAACGACTGCGTGAACAATTATAGCATTTAGCTCTGGTGCATTGCTGCTTTGGTGTCTAGATGCAGGTGGAGGGCACAGGTCCACCATCCAGCCCCAAAGCTGGCAGCCTGTAAAGGTTTATGAAAGGCTCGGAGCTGCTGTGGCTGGATGAGGTTGGATGGTTCTACTAACGCTTAGGGCAAATTCCCTGAATGCACACTGCTTGCACCTGGGCAATTCATCTCTAAAAAGATACTGCCCTACACATCAGTAGCTCTTAGTGCATGGTCTAACCTCATCCAGCTATAGCAGCTTTCAGCCGCTCATAGAGTTTAACAGGCTTTTGGCAGTTGGTCTGGATGGTGCACCTTTGCCCTGTGCTCATACCTAAATGTCCAGTATGTATGGGGCCTAAAGCCATCTAAAGACTCAATGAGGTTGATTTACTAAAGGCAAATAGATTGCAAGTGCAGTTGCTCCAGAGCTTTATAAATGAGAAAAAAGAGAACAGGAGGCGCCAGCTAAGTGCAGTAATTGGATGCTGTATTTAATAACATAGGATTAAAAACACTCACAAGAGGTGAGGAAATGACAAGCTCATCTGTGTAGGGGGATGTGACCACTCCTCTCTATCCTGCAAGTACCGCTGGTCATACACCTAGGGTGCCATGGATGTAAGCTGGAACAGTGTAGAGCCGGGTGTGCTGGTTGGGAGACCACCCAGATGTCATGGGGGTGCAGCAGAGCCGGTCCAACGCCGTCTGGATCAGGAAGAGTCCGTGCTGACCAGTGAGGAACGCACCGGCAGAAGTGACGTCACCGGAAGAGGCGAAGGACTGGATGTGGAACAAAGAAGACACAAAGAACACAGGCAAAGAACACAAGCTACATGATCGGAGCCTCTTGCTCCTTCTACAGGCGTGTAGAGGCATCCAATTAGTGCACTTAGCTGGCGCCTCCTGTTCTTCTTTATTTTGTCTATGTATGTAGAGTTGGCTTTGCTCTATAGGATGGCTGCCGCTATCTGACACCCAGTGTCCCAGAGACTCTTTAAACACTTGATTATGTCTATGGACATTATATGATTTATTCAGTTAACAGTGTCAATTTACATTCATCCCATGCCTGTCTCCAGCACGGAATTATACGTATAAAAAGTTACATATACACACATCATTTGCCTTGCTGGCATCTGACATTTTTCATATTGTTCATAATCCATATTGTATCACATTGGAATAATCTCACCTCTGTGCACCAGAATTTCTCCTTTATTGTTTATAAATGAGAAAAAGCTTAATTTTGTAAGCCACACCCAATCACATGCAAGGAAAATTAAAAAAAAAAAAACAGCACTTTTGCTTGCATATAATTGGATGATGGAAGTCAGCAGAGCTGCCCCTCATTTACTAAACTCTGGAGCAACTGCACTTGCAAAGTGTATAGTCTAAGTGCCTTTAGTGCCAATGTCTTGTTGCTCTTAGCAACCAAACAAAAGCCTTGTTTAAAGCCTAAGTGTTCCATCACACTGCCCAGCTGCACTTTGGGCAAAATGCAGCTAACCCACAGTTTAGCTGCGCTTTTCGGCAGATTTCTATTATGTCCCGCTGTTAAAGTGCACCAAAACTGCAGGACATAATTAAAGTCTATGGGAAAGTGCAGCTAACCTGCATGAAAACCATGGATAAGCTGTACTTTAGCCAAAGCAAAGTGGGCAGTGTGAAGCTGCCCTTACTCCAAGTTTTGAATAGTGTGTTTAGATCAAGCTGGCCCAAACAAACTATTTATTTCACCAACAAATGGGTGCTCTGCGTAAACTGTATACAGCATACAGTATAGAGCTCTATGTCTCAGCTTATTCTCAGAACATAATGAAGTCAGGCTGAGGGCTGAACAGCCATTCACAGGAGTCTTTGTATTTTATAAATGACTACAAGGCTTCTACTGACTGGCTGAAGTTGAGAGGTGGGTGGATGATAACACAATCTCTGCCTCAGCCAATCAGAGGAGGCCTTGTATTCATTCATTAAATACAAAGCCTCCTGTTAATGGATAAGCAGCTCTTGGGTGACTCAATTTTGATTCAGGAGCAAGGAGGGAAGTCCCCGAACTGCTACCAGAAAACAGAACTAGACATACTAATGCTACATCCAGTTTATACAGCGCTCACAGCCGCTGCATCTTTTAGTAAAAGAAAGACCTGGTTTGGTCCAGCTTGGTCCTAATGAACCATTTAAAGTTTACTAAAACCTGGAGTTAGGCTTTAAAGCAGATCTTACCCAATGACTAAAATCTCATATCAGTTTTAACCTGTTAATGACATTTCAAAAGTTTCTTTAAATAGTTTTAATTCTACAGCTTTCATTTGAAGAACCCCTGGTGATCTTGCAAAAAAGGAAGAATATTTCAGACACCACCAATTGAGACTACAAGCGCATCAACGCACATTATGGATGCATGGTTCATCGCTGTCACTCAGGTAGCCGGTCTACAGCATTAGTATTGCTGGTGACAAGGGAGAGAATGCATGTAGACAGGCAGTGGTTGCATGTAGACTGGAAGTCGCCGAATAAGGCTAGAGGAGATCAGCAGCACTGATATACGGAGTTATAATATACTGATATTACGGAACTATAAAATGAATGCTAGCTTTTTTAAAAATAGCGAATGTTAAAGACAGGCAGTGCTTTAGCAAGCTAAATGGCCTCCAGTTAGGGTTTGCATCAACGTTAATTTTCAGCTACTGCAGAAGAATAGTTGAAAGCTGACTGGTAGTATTTATTAGTATATTTTTCATACACAAGCTGCTTAGAAACAACTTTGTTTCTTGTAAAAAGTAAAGTCTGTTGATAAAGTTTTCTTTTTCTCTATACAAGTGTTTCTCAATTTTTTTTGAAAACTCCTAGAGGAACTCCTGAAATAATTTTCAGGCTTCTAAGCACCTCTTATAAAAATTACATCTTCAGCTCACTTAATGTTATCAGTGAAAACAGGTTATAGATCTAAAATGACAAACCTAGAGTACTCTACTATATATATTGCTAATACTCTAACAATAAAATGTTAAAATGTCAAGTACAAGTAACACTATGGAGCATACAAAGCCCATGATGTGGTAGCCACCTGCCCTGATCCCTTATGAAAGTTATGTTTTATAGCCAATTTTTAATTTCAAAGGTATAGTGATAGTGACACAGGAAACGTTTTCTGTAATAGTTAAATTATTGAGCATACAAAAAGACTGCAAAATCATTACTGCCTTTTTCATCATTCCCCATAGGATTAAATAATCTAATAATAAAAACATTGCTAGATACACTATATTGACAAAAGTATTGGGACACCCTTCCAAATCATTGGATTCAGGTGTTCCAATCACCTTCATGACCACAGGTATAAAACATCAAGCACCTAGGTATGCAGACTGCTTCTACAAACATTTTTGAAAGAATGGGTCATGCGTGGTACTGTGATAGGTTGCCACCTGTGCAATAAGTCTATCCATGAAATTTCCTTGCTACTAAATATTCCACGGTCAACTGTACGTAGTATTATAACAAAGTGGAAGGAACTGGGAACAACAGCCACAAAGTGGTAGGCCACGTAAAATGACAGAGCGGGGTCAATGCATGCTGAAGCACATAGTGTGCAGAAGTCACCAACTGTCTGCAGAGTCAATAGTTTAAGACTTCCAAACTTCGTGTGGCCTTCAGATTAGCACAACAACAGTGCGTAGAGAGCTTCATAGAATGGGTTTCCATGGCCGAGCAGCTGCATCCAAGCCTTACATCACCAAGTACAATGCAAAGTGTTGGATGCAGTGGTGTAAAGCCACTGGACTCTAGA